GTTGTACAATATTTTGATCGCCACAAACTCTCTGATCATATTTTACCCACCTCATCTCCATACAACCGATTCTAACACATAACTTTGATCTCTTCTCTCGCTCTCGCTTCTCCCCCCAGTGACACCGTTCTTGTCCAGCCACCCTGTTCTAACGAGTGATCCAAAAGCTTTGAGTCAGACGCTGGATGAGTTATATCGTGGACTCCTCGATTGTTTCTCCTCACTTCTCGATTTTGCCAAGTTTTTCGGCCTTGGCATTGATGACATCCGGAGCAAATGCGCAGTAGATAAGGATACCATAGAGCGGCCTGCTCCGGTTGACCGTTTCTCCCAGTCCGTGGATAATTTCAGATTCGGTGTAGCGCGGACTAGGCAACTCGGTCTGTTTGCCGTCTGGTTGGCTGCTTGCGAATGGCGCACCGTGCGGCATACTGTGGCCTATACGCTGGTGGTGTGGGAACGGGTAAGTTTGGCAGCCGTCAGCCCCTCGGTCATTGGGTCATTGCTTTTTTTATGATTTCTCTCCGACTCGGCAATTCTTTTTCTTGTTCCGTTTCCCAGAATCTCCGCCGTCAAGGTCCCGCTGTTAACTTCTTCAACGGAGGTCTGAGTGAGCGCCATAGGACGAGTCTTGGCTACCTGTTGCGAGCCACTTTCCAAGCTCATGCCCGTTTGGCACCTGTTCCGCGTGGGTGTTTCCCTACTTGTCTGAAGTCTGACGGCGATGCTGGTCAGCACGCTCGCGCTGAGTGCTGGCCTCAGCGTCGTGATGACCCAGAATGGTGGTGGTGGCATTCATACTTCTCTCCTGCCGTGTCTGGTGCTACCCATACGGGTGGGTTTTTAGTTTTTTGTGTATTTTAAAGTAAGAAACTTTTCCTTAATTTAAAAACTTCTTTTTGAGCGTTCGCCTCAACTTAAGTTGCTGTTGTAGGCTGTTGTCGGGATAGTGCCGCAAAACCGGACGATTTGCTTGAACCCGTTAGTAGGCTTGCCGTGTCGGAGGACGCTGTTCGTCTGTGGAGCCTGCTATTGCCGGGTCCTCCTGCTCAGAGTGCTTCTAGTACGTCCGAGACCACCGAGGGCATCGTCTTCACCACGGAGGGGGCGGATTACTCACTCTCCGCTGGCCCATCATCCCCAACTTCTTCAATGAAGGGTGGCGTTTGCAGGCGTGCCAATCCTTGTCAGTCAGT